GGTTTTATCGCTAGCCGAACCTCCCTATGAAAAATTATTATACTTATTAAAATTGAGCAATTCTACAGGACTAACAAAAATACTGAAGCTATGTAATTAAAGAAAAATATGAATCATCTTGTTCCGAATAACTCTATTTTGCAATGTTGTTTTCTATCCTTGTTCGTTTTAAGACCTTCAGTCGTCCATTGGGTATTTATTAGTTGCATATGTACATTTGAAGCTTGCAATGTTTCTTGCTTTTGTGTGTAAATAACTTATTGTGTTGTCCTCTCTTGCACAACACAGCTCTATATTGAAGTTTTTTTTTATTGAAAAAAACATGAGAAGTATATTTACATAAACGTATGTGACGGGTTGCTTTTCCTAGAGTGTCAGCAGCCTTACGGGGTATTGCACCATCATTCAGCTAACTACCTTGACCTCTAAAGACTCAATTTTCGAATGATTGTAGTTGCTTCAATAGTTTTTATTAGATAGTTTACAGAAATAACTGAATCAGGCTCATACAAGTAGTTGTTTTAAAGAAATAGTAATAAAAGTTCAGTTTCCTTTACAACTTTTTCAAAAGATTTTGAAGTATCATCATTGTTTGACTGAACTCAAAATGATTTTAAAATACCATCACTGGTAAAGTTATCGAGTATGCATATTTGCCATTTCATATTGTCCAAAATAAAAGGATTGTATATAATGCTGTTCTAATTGCAACATACAAATATTTAATTGTCAACTTTGTTGTTCAAGCTAAATAATTTAATTTTGGATGTAACGCGTCTTCTGATTGGATGACAGTGTTTTGTCCATCAGCTAATAGACATTATTTTGTCATCAACGTTTTTTCATGATTAACTCCTGCTTAAAATGGAATTTAGAATTAAATTATAAGGAATGACTGTAATATGTTTCTGTCTATTCGAAATAACATCAAAAATGTGGTGCACACTTTAGAATAACCCGCTACGCCGTCATTCCTTAAATTGACAAAATGACATGAAACCAGTATAGAAATTTCTCAACTTGTTTCTGTAATTTTTAAAAGATATAAAATCTCACCTGAAATGACTGAACTGTTGGTATAAGTTGTGGTATTTAAAGAAAGCTTGTAAGGATTTTCCGTCTCTTGTGGGGAACCTAAGTGATTTTGAAGAATACTTTCACAGACAGAGGTCGAAACTCCATTATAATGTGAGTATGCTAAATATTGCAAATGACACGATATGACTAAAATCGTTCTCGATTTCATTTTCTGAAAAATATAAATATAAGACTAAATACTATGCTCTTTAATTAAACATACTTATTCGTCATCATTACAAATATTTCACCATACAAAACGCTATACTATGCTCTTACTTAAAGTCGCATAAATCGTCCATCTTAATAACGACGAAATTCAATGTATTGTATATATCCTTAAATGAAATCGACGAATGCAGTCACAATCTAAATTCAAATTAAAGCTATATTTGATATAGTAAAATTGACCAAGTATAGTCTTAGGTGCTAGATATATATATATATACATACAAGTCTAAATTGAAAACAACGTTCAAACCTATATATATATATATATATATATATACAGCACAAACAACATTTTCCAAAAGACCAAGAAAGTGAAAAAGTACATTTTAACAAAACGCATTTGACTAAGAGGTCGAACAACAAATGTTCTTTTTTCCAAAAGACCAAGAAAGTGAAAAAGTATATTTTAACAAAACAAGGTCGAACAACAAATGTTCTTAAACCCTGCTGACTGCCATTAGCAATTGCCAAATAAACGTTCAAACCTTCAAAAAAAATGTTTGCACCTTTTGTTTGCGGTATACCATCTTTTCCGCAAGTTTATTGTTTTCTGTTTGGTATTAAATTATTATAAAGATCCATTTGTTACATCTTGTGATCCGTTTATTTGGCAATCGCCAATGGCAGTCAGCAGGGTTTAAGAACATTTGTTGTTCGACCTGTTAGTCAAATGCGTTTTGTTAAAATATACTTTTTCACTTTCTTGGTCTTTTGGAAAATGTTGTTTGTGCTGTATTTAGACGACTCCTCTACCAAGAAATTTATTTTGCATGCACACGTATAAAAATTGCGGTTTTTATCCAACGCAATCATAGGTTTGAACGTTGTTTTCAATTTAGACTTGTTTATATATATAATCTGTTGTAGAGTTGTCACTGGTTCAGACGTACTTATAAATACAATTATTTCTGTGACTGTATCTTGCATTAATTTGTAGGATCCTTTACAATAGATATTTCAGCTGATCTGTAATAATTCCATCTTCATGCCTTATATATCATGTACTGTATTACGACGCTAGATTAAAACTGACGAGGAAAGGTAACACCCGGCCACCGAAAGCTTTATTTTGAAGCCTAGGTGGTCGAGTGGTCTAGCGCGTCGGATACAGTGCAGGCGAATTGGTGTCACGATATCTCAGTAGCACGAGTTCGAATCCCGGCGAGGGAAGAACTAAAAATTTGCGAAAGCAAATTTACAGATCTAGCATTGTTTGGCTGGTGTTTAGACGAGTTGTATATATATATATATATATATATATATATATGTATGTTATGTGGTGTGTACCGATCTGATAAATTGAACCTTTTTCAAATAATTTTATAGTTTGTTCCCTGTATATCATAATTGTTTTCTTGAATTGTATTGTATATAAATCAGGTGTTAGATTTCTCGTTTGGATTGTTTTACAATTTTTTTTATTTCGAGGCCTTTTATAGTTACTATACGGTATGGGTTGTAGTCATAGTTGAAGGCCGTACGGTGTCTTATAGTTGTTATCTTCTATATCATTTGGTCTTATGTTAAGAGTTGTTTCATTGTCAGTCATTCCATATCATCTTAATTTAATATGTATCAAACAGTGCGAATACGAAAATGGAGCCTGTGTATTAGTAACTTTACCGCATTTTTATATCACAAAACATAGTATTTACCTGGTTTAAGTTCGATGGTTGATGCTGCAATAGCCTGTAAGGTACTTATAATCCAACATGTCTGTTGTCTATTTGAAATTCCATGCTTTGGCAGAATCTTCGATTGGTCTGCAGTTGTCATTGCATTCATTTTTGGTGGTTTACTTTTTGTTTTAGTTTGTTTTGTGGTCTCAGAATTGGTCCCTTTGAGTTCTGTAATAGGAGAGAAGTAACGACTTTTTCGCTTCGCCAAAGGTGTACCTTTCTTATTCCAGCTCTCCTCTGCATCATTGAAGTCTTCGTTGTTTTGAACAACCTTCTGTGGTTTAAATTGGTGCAGATTGTTTTGATAAGCCACTATTCTACCTTTCAGATTCATGTGCAATTTCCTAACAAATTTCCCTGCTCTTAATCTGACATCCTTCTGTAGTGTGTCACATTCAACCATCTTCATCCAGTTCTCTACGTGATCATTAGATTCCCTGGTTGTACTTTGAACAGAATCGTCCATGATTTTTTTCCCAGAATGTCTTTCAATCGGTCCCAACATTATGCCACTCCATAATGGGAGTAGTGGCATGAAGTCGTCAGAAAGAATTCGAAGAACTTCATCACAAGCATATGGATTTTCGTTGTTTCTGTCCGTGTCTGATCCCAATGTAAATAGATGTCGAAAGGGAGATGATCGTCTGATTCCGTTGACATTATTGTCCTCTTCCCAAACCACATCGCAAATAAACTCCTGTTCATTCTTGATTAGACTAGTGTTACCTTCGATAAAACATGCTTCTAAATTTGGTAATGAGTTCTCTACTACATTGAGGGGTGAAGATGCACTAAAAACAACTTGTAACATTTTCCAAAGATTGATTGCAGTTGGTAAATCTGTACAGTTAATAAGAAGCGCAAATGTACGTGTTATGTACTCCTTCGTTGTCTTGTCTATTTTTATTGATGCAATTCTGTCTCTAAATGCTTTGAGTAGATGATTGCAGCAAATGTGGACTACCGTGTATTTTTGTCCCATTTTACCATGATAAGCCACACCAAAACACCACTGCATGTAAACATTGATGTTGATATTATTTATTGACATTAAAACACTATGTATTAAGGCCCAAGAGAAATCAACTGTTACCCTGCTAAGCATCTGTTTCCCTGCAATTTTCTTCCAGCAATGAATAAAATTCATTAACGCATATGTAATTGTTGGTGTGTTTTGAGAGTCGCTGAGAAACTCAAGAACTGGCAATGGTGGACTACCTTTCGGTCCTGGTAATACCATTGCATAATATAATACCCGCTGATTCCTTATCCTTTCAACGACTGTACCCGTTGCATCTAAATAAACAACGGAGGAAATGTGTTTAACCTCATGTTTCAACACCATTAGTTGTCTCTCTGTATAAGTATTGTAAGAAAAGGGATGAACCCAATATGCTGCACATAGCCTTTGCAGATCTTACTACACACGTCTTCATCTTCCAGAATATTCTTGGTGAGTACCAATTCGGTGAAAGGGTCCTGGTGCAAATTTTGATGTACATTCCATTCAGATTTGGCTTTTCGTAACACTGTAGGAGATTGGCAGTATGACAAGTTTCCAAACTGAAGCTCTGATTCTTGCATGCTTGCGGCCTTTTCGTAAAATACGTTACTCACTCCTTTGGACTGTAAATTCGTTTGAGCCTCGGTTCTTTCCGACCTCATTAAGTGGCGCTTGTGTCTGTCTTCTCTGTTTGAATGCTTGATGTTGTGGCCTATTACTTCAATTGCAACTTCTTTGCGTCTTTTTTTTGGTTTGTCTGCAATTACAAAGTCAAATGTGCCACATTGTACCCCTTTGCACTTTGCCTGGACCTTGAAATAAGGACAGTTTTTTTTTCTTGAATTCTTTTTTTTTACTTTTTGATATTTAAAGGTTAGGGAACAGGAAGGCATTTCAGCTCTCAATTGCCTGGAGAATATATCTGTCCATCCAGTTTTTAGTTTGTATGACGGTTTTGAGGGTTTAATTTTTTTCCAATCAGAGTCTGGAAACACTATGGAACATTTTACCTTTTTTTTCTCAAACAATATAGTTTTTTCTTCCGAAATATCACTGTTATCGTCTGACCCACTGTGATTATCATCGTTTATTATTTGGTGAACATCGTTCAATGAGCTTTTCATATCTGGAGTGGTATGTATTTTGTCGACGCTGTGAAAACTTTTATTAATTCCGTCATTTAAGATATTGTCAATGTCTTCTTCTTTCTTTTGTGTTTCACTGTCATCTGACTCTTCTTTTTCACAACACTGTTTCAAATTATCTTCATCAGAATCTGTTTTAGGATCCATTGGCTTCCTAATATTATGTACCTCAAATGGCATCCCCACATTATGACTTTCCTTACATTCCTCATGTTCCTCACCATTCGATTCGCATTGCCGATTGTGTAGACTACTGCTGTTGTTGTCGGCTTCTACCTCTTTACTATCTTCGGTTTCTTCATCAGATGTGTCATACCCTTCGTTCTTTCTTGTTGGTGAAGTTTTAGAAAATTTGCCTACCTTATATTTTCTGGCATTCAATTTTGTTTTTCGAAAAACCGGACTATCAGTGTTAAATATTTTTCTTTTTGCCCTTTTGGTGCAAATGCGTTTCAATGGAGGTAAATCTTCGGACAAAGATTCTTCAGATGACATTTTTCTGTCCGATGATTCGAGGTGCCATTCGCTGCCACTGTCAATCTCGATATCGGTATCATCCGAGAATGTAGTTCTATACATAGGTTCATTCTTACTTGATCCAACACTCTTCTCGATCTTGCTGTCATCCGAGTTTGGATCGAAAGACACTGGGCAAATGGGTACTTCTTCAATTGAAATTTTTGACTGAATAATTTGCTTATACTTTTTTTTGCAAGTATCGTTCTCTGTTTGCTTATCGCCTACTAATTTGTTCGTGAAACAATCATCGTGTTCGATTTCGTTATCTACTCGTCTTGGCCTAAAATTGATGAAGAACTCGGTTGAATTGTACCTGAGTGGTCTTTTAACAATACGTGGTTTCTTTTCAGTGGATTTTCCCCTACGTTTTATCAAAGTCAAAATCTGTTTATAGTTTTTATTACCACATTCAATGTTTATTTCTTTACATAAATCAGGTAAGAATGAATCATCAAGATTCCAAGTAAAGATGTCCTTTCTTATAGATAATATCGTTGCAGCGTTTTTTATGCGTGAAAAGGTAAGTCTGCACTTTGGCTTCATGATGACATTATCTACCAATAAAAAGATAAAACAGTAAATGTATAAAAAAAGAAGCGTATTTAAGTGAATATGAAGATAAAGATCAATAAACGATAAAAGAGGGCCGAAAGATACCAGATGGACATTCAAACTTTTCTTGTGTATAATTCGGAGTTACGTATGACGTCCATTGACACTGAACTAGTATACATATTTGTTTAGGGGCCAGCTGAAGGACTCCTCCTGGTGCGAGAGTTTCTCGCTGAATTGAAGACCCATTGGTGGCCTTCGGCTGTTGTCTGCTCTATGGTCGGGTTGTTGTCTCTTTGACACATTCCCCGTTTCCATTCTCAATTTTGAACAAACAGATCGAAAATAAAGCGACAACGCAATGGCTAAAAAAGAAAAACACAAACAGACAAATAATAATACACACGGAACAACATAGTAAACTAAAGACTAAGCATACGATAATCAACGCCGGATGTTAGTCGCAAATTTCCTATTGTTTTCGAATTAACTATTTCCTGTGAATTATCATCCTCATCCAACTTCTAAAACGATATTCATTTCACGTTTTGACAATAAATTAAGAGAATTTCCTTAAGGTATAGAACCAATAATTCAGGCCCGGTCGGAAAGAACATATAAGGAAGTAGTAAATAATTTAAACAAACTAGTTCCTACGCATAGCGGGTATATTTTGGTAGTTGTGGTATCAAATGAAAGCTTGGGGACTTGGGATCATTGTAGAACTCTTGTTGAAAGATTTATTTGAATAATAAAGAAGTATATGCAATTTTGATAGGAGGGCATATGTGGCCTGTTGTTCAGATAAGAAGTTCCTGTTTTTTTGTACTATCAAACTTCCGGGAACCAGTACGCTCTAATGTGCAATTAAAGGTATGTTGATTTGTTCAGCACAAGGAAGGATAAGGTACAGTTTTGACATGAAATAAGTGCCACTTTATTTAAACTTAAGACAAAGTAGCCATTAATGCTTGAAATTGCAGAATTTAACATAGAAAGCAATGATGGGGCTATGAATTAGTGGTTTTATACCTTTAAGATAAATTTCATATTTTATCTGGGTTTTTTTTCTTCAATACATGTGGTTTGAAATAAAATGGTGATTTTTGTTTGTAACTGTCAATGAAGTATGTTAAGTGTTGTGGCTGTTATACTTGTTTAATATAGATTTTATTCAATATAATTCAATAAAACTTGATTGATATTAAAATATTACACTATAAGTTGATATTTGCTATTATGAACGATAAAAATTTAAAGCGCTTTTACGTTACAAGTATCAATTGTCACAAATGTAGGATGTTTTTTTTATGCTGCAAAAGCCACAATTATTTAGAGATTATGTTTATAACAAGGATGTTGAAATTGGACACATTTTCAAACCTCACATCCAAAATAAAAGATTTTTCATGAAAGTTTGATTTTTTTCAGTTCAATCTCATTACTATTTTATCTTTTGATATGGCAATATAAGCATACTTAAAATCAAAGGCAACTATAAATCTAAAACAAAGTTGATTATATTGTTTATACTTGAATTGCAATGTTTTACAATAAAACAAGTGGACTTGAACCTTCCTTTAAAAGAAATCCTTTTTATTATCAAAATCGTCGTAAATGTACCGATATTGAATTATTGAATTACTTCCCAGACACAAATTCGCCAATATTTGTGAAATGACATTCACTACGAGACCTCTCTATGTAACTTCGGCCACCTCAGCACGCAGTGCGAGGGGAAACCCGGAATGTAAACAAACGTGCTTTGGATGGTAAATAGTAATAACAGATTCTCAAAGAACAAATTTAATACAACAAATAATTTAACAACTGTCAAGAAACGTTTAACTTTCAATTCGCCATTTGTTAGTTTTTCCAATGCATTTGCACATCATGCTGGCACTATGATCTCTCATTGTACATTGAAAACAAGGAATTTCAATAAAATCCGTTTGTGGCATTTGTTACTTAATGTCATCTACATGGATCTGTTATGTCACAGTTATATGGAGGTTGAAATATATCTACGGTGTTGTAGAATTTTAATAGTGCCACTTCGTGATCTCTTTAGATATCGAAGATGAAAAATTTCTTATATAAACGCGTAGTTTTAGTGTAAGCAAGAACAGGAATGTGGACTAAAGACATAGTGCTGGACTTTATATCCAAGGCGCTGGAATTTAAACTACAGTGCAAGACTTTGCATGTCATGAGCTAGATTTTACAACTTTATATCTACAGCTGTCGATTTTGTGCAGATCCCTGATTGTCTCATGCAGACAAAGTATTGTCGTTTTTAAAGTCAAGCGCTGGAGATGTAAAGTCCAGCACTGTAGATCTAAATGATGCACTGTCAATGTAGTCATGCACTGGAGTAAATTTTAAATTAAAATCTGCCGGGCTGGACTTTATAAATAATCTACATTGCTGGACTTGAGATTGACAGCGCTTGACATAAAATTTACAGCGCTTGACCTTATAGCTACAGTGCATGGTTTTTTAATCGAGCACTGTTGATCTGACTTCCAGGCTTTAATTGTACTACGCTGGTCTTAAGACCTACAGTGCTGGACATGCCATTTCTAGTGCTGGACTTATGATCACCAGTGATTGACATCTCAAGCGATGGAAATTGCATCTCCTCATCTGGAAGGTAGGTGTACAGCGCTAGATTTGAGATGAAAAATGCTGGACTTTAAAATCTACAGCGCATAAGTTTACATCTCCGGAGTAAGATTTTATATCTGCATGTACATAGCTAGATTGTTTATTTACAGCCCTCGAATTTTTAATGGAGTTTGAACTAGATTGTATAGCTACTGCTCTCGACTTTTACAGACCCATGTTAGTCTCATACATAAAAATAATTGTTGTTTTTAAAGTCATGCGAGGCAGATGTGAAATCAAGCGCTGGTGATTTAAAGTCTAGCTTTATAGATCTAACGCCAAGCACTGTAGATCTAGGTTCTAGCGCTGTAAATCATAAGTCAAGCGCTGTACATAGAAAATAAAGTCCAGTCTGGTGCAAGTGGAAGCTTTACAGAGGCTAAAGAAGATTTATATAAAAGGGGATTGAAAGCTTTATTTAAATATAAAAAAAGTTTTAACTTATATAAACCTAAAATTAACACACTTTCACATACATTTGATCATACTGTGAAACCTGTGTTGTTATATGGGAGTAAAATATGGGGAGCTTCAGTAATAAATATACTAAATAAAAATGAACATAATCTATTTAAACTATGCAAGGACATGAAACAAGAAAGTATTAATGCCAAATTCTGTAAATTTTCTATGGGTTTAGGTAAGAAATCTACAAATATAGCTGTATTGGGTGAAATGGGAAGATATTCCTTATTTCTTGATGTAATTTTAAATATGTTTAGATATTATAAATATGTATTAAAGTCTGATGATATCCTTCTCTCTGAAGCTCTGAATGTCTCTAGATCACTAAATAGTTTAAACAAAAATAGTTGGTATAGTTGTATTGTTATTCTTATGAAATATCTTGATATAGATCTTAAACTTGTTAAAAATTCAAAGATGGATTTAAAATCACTAATTTACCGGAAATTAAAACAGAAATATTCTTGTATTTGGAAATCTTAACTTTACAATGATAGACAAAATAAACAGCATGGAAATAAAATTAGAACTTACAGATTATTTAAAGAAAATATTTGTATGGAAAAATACTTATTAATTTTGAATGAGGATGATAGGCGACTGCTCACTAAGTTCAGAGTCAGTGCACATTAGTTAGAAATTGAAAGAGGCAGATATGTGGGGCTTCGAGTGGAGGATAGAATATGTAAATTATGCAACACTGAAGTTGAAGATGAAATTCATTTTCTTCTTCAGTGTCCTGTTTTAGAAAATAAAAGATCTGAATATATAAATTATTAAATAAGGTTAACAAAAACTTTAAAAGCCTCCCAAATAAATCAAAATTAATATGGTTAATGTCATCTGAGAATAATGTTATAATTAATAAAGTAAGTTTATTATTGTGTACTTTATTCAAAGAGAGAAATTTAACTCTAGATACAGTTTAGTCACCGGTAGTTTGT